CGCTTTCCTCCAGTGGAAAACCGAGATAATCTGAACAGACCATCTACAGTGGATGTCAGAGATTCTGTTGGACGACCACCAGTTGATCCAAGAGAGGGGATAGGAAGGCCTCCAGTAGATGGCAGAGAACACTTTGCAAGACCACATGTAGACATGAGAGAAAATTTTGGAAGACCAGGTATAGATAACCTTGGTCGAAGAGAGCATTTTGGTTTCAATTCAGACAAGCACTGGGGACAGAGAGGAGATTATGATGAAAGAGAACACCATGCCTTCCCAATTTATGGTGGCCCTAAAGGCTTCCATGAAGACAGAGAGAGATTTCGGCATGTAAACTATAGGTTTGATAGTAGAAGCGGTCCCAATTGGAACAGAGGATTTGAACAAGATGCTCACAGAGATTTTGATGACCGCAGAAGACCCTGGGAAAGACAGAGGGATAGGGATGACAGAGATTTTAATTTTTGCAGAGAAATTAATGGAAACAGGTTTGGAAGAGACAGAATGTCAAACAACTGGATCCCCCCTCCACATCCACGGGTGTTTGAATATTTTGATGGGGCCACTTCCCAACGCAAAGCTGATAACATGCCCCAGGTGAATGGTGAAAATACAGAGACAGAAAGCCAGCCACCAACTGCACAGGTGCAGGATGATCCAGAACTTTATGAAAAACTGGCATCTTCCGTCGAGATAAACAAAGAGAAGAGTGACACAGAAGCTGATATAGAAAGTGAACCAGTGGTAGAAAGCACAGAAACTGAGGGGACATAATCATCACTCAGTAGGTAAAAGATACCTTTTGTAAAGTTGTCATCTCTCTGTAATAGATAAATGGCTGACTGGACCGTAGCAGTTCACTTTTGTCTGCCAGAATTAAGTTAATCTGATGTTCATGTTCATCTTTCACTTAAATAACTGTACAACTGACTTGTATAGAACACTGTTCTTAATTTGAACATGGTAGGTAAACTTTTTTTTTTTAATTTCCCTGGTAAAGCATAAACTTGACCCCACTTGCTTTTAATTCCACAAAGATAACAGCTTGTCAAACAAAGACTTCCTATGGAAGAAAATGGAATTTTTTAGATACTACCCTTAGGTTGGCTATCGAAATTGTTATACTTGAAAACAGGTGCTGGTGTATCTTGTCCGTGTTTTTAGGCTGCTGCAGAATTTTAAAGTATAGACAAAGCTGTGACATTTTATGTTCCTACAATTCGGCATAAAAATGGCCCATGTTATTTAAGGAGCATAACACAGAGATTAAAAGTGATTTTGTAAAATCTACACTATAGTCTCTGTTTTCTCTAAAGTAAGTGTTCGTGATTTGTTCCTCGTACTGCAGTGGGTTTAAAAAAAAATATGAAAAAATACATTTTAATGTTGGGTGCATTTTGTTTTTAGATGCCAATAAAGCATATTTGTTTGATAACAGTGTTCTAGGTATTGTATTTTTTTAAAAACCTGCAAGCTCTAAAAACTTGGAATCAGCTATGATATGTGCTTAGCTAGTTGTTGCAAAAGACTGATATTACTTTTGTAAGACCAATGCAACAGTTATATGTGCAAGAAGCATATGGTTTTCACATCGCAAATCATGCAGTCATTTTAGTTTATGTAAATAACGTGTATGTAAATATTTGTGTAAACTGTTTGTAGATACCACTTTTTCTGTGCGTGCCTGTGTATGTGCACACACTCACAGAATATTGTAGACAGTTCAATAAAATTGAAATAAAACTAGGTTGTAAAAAGCTTGCCTTTCACCTTCTTTAGGTAGTAAGATAACGAAACTTATTTCATGGCAATGCTGCCAAGCTTATATTTGCCTTCTCATGCTCATTGTTACAATGTTCTTACTACTTCTAGAAGGTGGAACATGATATACTGTAAGAATATACAGTAGGATTTTAGCTTACTTTTAAAAATGCAGATATGCATGAAGCAAAAGCAAGTGTTTGCATTGTCTTATTTTGTAATATATTGGGTATTCTGGCTAGATAGTGGTAGTGTTCAAGTACTTTGTGGCTATTTGTTTTCAGTGACTCAAAGTCCAGAAATGTTGCACGAAAAGTAAGAAGCTTTTGTTGGTCTAAAAAACCCTACAAGTTTTTAACAGAAATAAGGGGGTCTTTGTGTTTTGATGGCTTAACACTGAAGTAGAATCTCTTGCTAAATTGTTGAGATGAATTGGCTGCTTAGGTAAATCAGTAGTGCTGTTCTCTCCTATTTCACCTACTTTGTGGCTTGTGTATTCTTTACATTGGTGGTGAAAGATTTGACTGTAGGGTAGTGTCAGATTTTCAGTTTCTTCCACTCAAGTGCAATTCACCAACTTCTTTCAACATAACCTTTGTTAAAATTCTGTGTCAGCATCCTTTCACTCAGTTTTAAGATAGTGGTTTTTCTCTTGCATAATAGAATTGAAGTGTAGATTCTGTCACATGAGTGCCCCTTTGAGAGAAGAAACATTTTTAGCTCAGATTAGAATTTTGATCTTTAACATTAGGGCACTAGCGTGCAAGTTTTAATTCCCCTTGTCTCTTCCCAATGGGATGAAAGTATGAGAATGTCACATGTGTGTGTTAAGCATAAGCATACCTTTGAACACAGAAGCAAGTTACACATGTATGTGTTCCTCTGTCCCTCTGGGAGGTGGGATTTTTTTTATTATTTTTTTTTTGCTATTCATGGTTCAGTTCTTCAATTACAGAGACTTTCATTCTGGATAGTAAAGAAGCTGTCAGTTTAGTGAAGGTAGCCTTGAAAGAGTGGACTTGAATGAATGATTATCAACTGTGAAGAAGTATGTGGTGAGGTACGCATTAAGTAACTACTGCTTTCTAATAGACCTTGCTGATGTGTTTTTTACCAGAATGTGTCGAGGAGTTGAGATGAACAATGTTTAAGATACAGCTACCTTCATGGGCAAACTCTGGCTCAAAAAACGTGACTGATCCTGCACCACCTACTAGTAGTATTCTGGTCAGGAGGATATATGGTTGTGTGGAAGCCCAAACACACAGAATACCTATAAGGATACTTTATGAACTTAAGGGATTTTCTGTATTTCATTTTAATATGTGCGGTTTGAAAAGGCTTCAGTCATGGACCATATAAATACTTAAAGTCAAACACATATTGGCAGTAGCTTTACTTTTCAAATATTTTGTTAAATGCCTCTTTAAAAGTGAAAGTGAATATGTTTTTCTCTAAACTGGGACTGGCAGTATGCTAAATTGCGCATAGTATGATGGTTTAGGTAAATTGCCAGGTGAGATGTAGAAGAATTTGGTTTGTAGTGGTATAAAGCAATGTATTATTTAATGATTTTTCATATATGTGAATATCTTTCAAGCATTAATAAATTGGCTACTGTACATAGGTGTTAGAACATCAATTTCTAAGAACTATTTTAGTTTTTCACAGAATAAAAGTTTCTTGTATGGTCTTCAGTTACATCATGTTTACAGCTAGAACTGTTCTAATTTCTTACTTTACTAATGTAGCATGCAGACAAGTATTACCAAAATAGCCATGTTTAGATGCTCAGAAATAACTTAATATTATCAAACCGGTATGATTTCTTTATCTTGCCAATAGGAATCTTTCAGAGTTTAGGTGAAGACTTTCCTTTTTCACTGTAGATGAAGCCATAGTAATCCACATGTGCACTACAAGGAGCTGTCCTGAGATCCCTATCATTCTTTTATGTGGTTCAGAATAG